GTGTGGGGGGGGGGGGGGGGGTATGGCCTTTAATTGATAGAGAATGCCATAGGAGTCCAAACATTTGCAGGTTTTTATTCATGTTTTGTCTCCATCTTCTGGCGGAGGCGTGCAACAAAAAGTATAATATAGGTTATGTGATCTCTTTGATCAGAAAAGCAAATATTTTAGCTGATACAAATAATATTACACAGCCCGTCTTAGAGGAATATCGTAAAATCATGAGTGAACAGAGATAAATGAACTGTGATTTCGACAGGGAATCCCTGTTTAATGTGTTTGTCCCTTGAGAACTTGAGAGGGTTTCCGTGGTGACTCATACAGGTGGGCATGGGGAGGGCTTGGGGAAAGCAGGCGAGACAGAAAGAGAAGGGGGGTATTCCAGCAGCACTGATGCAGTGGAGGCTGTCCAAACCATGTTTCATTAATATGGAGGGAGTGGAGTGAATGAGGTAAGGCACCGATTGCGTCAGCAGAATTTTCCTTTCTTTGTGAAAATATGAAAAATGAAAATATGAAAATAAGCAGATTCTGTCTGGAATTATTTTAATGACAAGAATGAAGTGCTAGCTAAAGAGTGAAATAATTCTGTGCTTTATTAGTAAGATGAAACGAAGCTCACTGATAGTTTTACAGATTAAAGTCAACTAGGCTACATTAAAATGGGACTGTTAGCTGTTTTTGTACTTGTTGCATGCTATTCCCACCCTTAACCCATCTCTTTTAGAGAACTACAGACCAGTTTCCCTTCTTCCTTTCATTGCAAAAACACTTGAACGAGCTGTGTTCAACTCTCAAGTCTCTGCCTTTCTCACAGAGAACCACCTCCTCGACAGCAACCAGTCTGGTTTCAGAAGTGGACGTTCAACCGAGACTGCTTTGCTCGCAGATGTGAAGCCCTAAGACTGGCAAGAGCGGATTCCAAATCTTCAATACTTATCTTGCTGGATCTGTCCGCTGCTTTTGACACAGTTAATCGCCAGATCCTCCTGTCAACCCTATTGGCAAAGGGCATCTCAGGAATGGCACTCCAGTGGTTTGAGTCTTACCTCTCAGATAGGTCCTTCAAGGCATCTTGGAGAGGTGAGGTATCCAAGTCGCAACATCTAACTACTGGGGTGCCTCAGGGCTCAGTTCTTGGACCACTTCTCTTCTCTTGCACTCTATTAATTTACTGCTTGTTTTCTTTAAAAAAAAAGAAAAAGAAAACTAACATTAGCTTTTCTAATCTTTTTGTATTCTATCTGTTTTCTTTTTATTTATTATACAATTAACAAAAGCAAAAAAGGCCTCTAACACTAGCTTGCGCTATTCTTTTTCTATTATATGTTTTCTTTAAATTTAATATATAATTTAAAAAATACTTGCTACGTGTACTGCATTAAGCTAACTGAGACTTGTTATAGCACTTGCATATCATTGGTTATTTGTTGATTTTGATTGCTTCTATTGTCCTCATTTGCATTTATGCATTTAGCAGATGGGACTACAGTGCATTCAGGTTATACTTTTTTTACCAGTATGTGTGTTCCCTGGGAACTGAACCCATGACCTCTTGCACTGCTAACTCAATGCTCTACTACCGAGCCACAGGAGCATTTGTAAGTGCCTGCTAAATGACTAAATATGTAAATGTATTCCTGAAATGAAAATTGCTCGTCTTCATAATATTTTATTAAATAACTTCACCTTTAAAAAAACAACTTTCCATTTCGACTGATATTATGTGGACTAGCTAGTTAAAGTAACCATTATGTGGACTAGCTAGCTAGTATCAATCAAACGTTTAAAGGACTGCCCACTTTTAGATGGGACCGGTGAGTAGTTGCGTCTTCAATCATTTTGCTCCCAAAATCAATTATATTAATTAGGTTGGCTTGAGAAAGCCAACCTACTGATCTGCCATTTAAACTTCTTCTTATTCTTATGAGACTAAAATTTCTGAATGCTATCTATCTATCTAAATCATGCTAGCAAAATATGCTAATCATGCTTATATCATCCTAGTAACATGCTAATAATGCTAGAATCATGCTAGTAACTTGCTAATTATGCTAGAAACATGCTAGCGACATGTGAGTAACTTGTTAATCATGCTAGAAACATGCTAGTAACTTGCTAAACATGCTAGTTACTTGTTAATCATGCTAGCAACATGTTAATAATGCTAGAAACAGGCTAGCGACATGCTAGTAACTTGCTAATCATGCTAGCTACTTGTTAATCATGCTAACAACAAATGCTAGTTACGTGCTAATCATGCTAACAACATGCTAGTAACATGCTAATCATACTAAAACATGCTAGTCACTTGCTAATAATGTGAGCTACATGCTAGTAGCATGCTAATCATGCTAGAAAAATGCTAGCGTCATGCTAGTAACTTGTTAATCATGCTAGAAACATGCTAACTTACTAATCATGCTAGCAACATGCTAGTTACTTGTTAATCATGTTAACAAATCATGTTAACAACATGCTAATAATGCTAGAAACATGCTAGCGACATGCTAGTAACTTGCTAATCATGCTAGCGACATACTAGTAACTTGCTAATCATGCTAGAAACATGTTATCAACATCTATCTAAATTTTCACAGCTTTAAACTTTCGGGCTAGGCTTTCTCAAGCCAATCTTGACTAACTTTTGTATCTAGTTAGTAAATAACGTCCCGCTCTAGTTTTTAACATTGAATATTCCATTACACTGGAAAATGCATAGAAGTAAAATGGGTTGTGAATGGCATTTCATGAGCGAGATTATTAGATTTTTTTTACAGGTGGTGTTGATGTCTTAATGAAGATTTGCAGTATAACAAATAAAATAATCAAAAATGCTTTCATGCTGAAGGTTTATTGTTAGTTTATATTAGTTAAACACAGTCAGTGGCATTTTAGCAGAGAAAATATGCAACATATTCTGATTAATACAGTCCAATTAATACAGTTAATTAATACATGTTTAATGCATGTTAATTAAGGCACCCAACCAAAACAATGGTCATGTAATTTAGATTTATGTGTAATTTCAGAAAATCGTTTAAATTTTTTCTTAAAATTTAATAGACCTTTGTTATTTCATAGCTTTTTGTCATACCTGCCAACATTCCCAATATTATGGGGTTCTCCTGCTTTTTCCACTCTTCCTCCCACTCCCAATTTATAACTTATCCTGATAACTGCATGATTTCTTGCATCTACACTTTGCTAATCAGAATGTATCAGACCCCCAGATAGGTTGAGGGTGACTGTGCATTCTGTATCGGTACTTAATGTTTGATTGTGTGTATTTTGTTCAGTTAAATGAGTTTACAAATGAAAACTTTTTGCATAAAATGATTAAAACACTATATTATTAACAACTCAGTGTTGGAAGTTGTGGGTGTAAAGAAAAAAAAAATTTACGCTAGCTTGTATTTCGATAATATTTGTGAAGAAAGCAAAGCAATTCAACAAAATGGTATTGGGAACCCTTTTTCTCTTTTTTTATCTCTGGTTCCCTCTTGGCAATCCGTTATCCATTACTGCACAAAGATTTCCAGCTGATTGGTGACCTGCCTCACTGTAGCGCAGTCCAGACACGCCATCAGCACCTTCTTCCCAGGGTACTGAGGGGTGATCGTGTCTGTATGTTGCAGTGTGCCACCAGGTGCGATCTGACTGCAAATGGAAATGGATATAGTTGAATATGCATAAAAAATTCTGTATGTCAGTACTTTACTTCAAAATTAACAGTTAAAAGCAAACTGATCATGGGCCGTAAGCACAAAATATTTTTCTTACCACTAAGAGCAGTTAAAGAGTTTCCTCTTCAAACCTTTTCACAAAGCCGCTGAGACCAACTTTTATTAAGGAATGAGGAGAAATCTTAAGCTAAGAGTAAAATAAAAATGTTGCCATATTAAAAAATAAAATAAAAAATAAAAATGTTGCTATAGTCTATTCAAATAAAGAATTTAAAATAAAAATGTTGCCATACTCAAAAAAGAAGTTTTTAAAATGTAGGCTAATGTCACTAATGAAACATGTATATGTTCAGGTAATTGTCAGCCTCTTACATGTTTGCATCTCATAAAAAATAGCGGATATGCATATAAGCAGTGTTTTAATGAACAAACTAGAATAGTAAGACGTGCAAACATAAAAGAAAACCAAACTGGACTCAAGAACAGCTGTTAATTCTTGCCCAACTTGTACATGAAAAGAAGGACATAATCAAATTAAAGGGAAATTATCATGAAATGTTTCTAAAATCTTTACATTCCGAGTCAGATTGCCAGCAACAGCCATTTTAGGATTGTTTGTGATTTGGGCTAAGTGACTTAGGATTCCTCTTGAATTTTGACTTGACCTAACTTTTCACAGATTTAGGAGCTAAAACGCTTTGTAAAATGCTTACTTTTAGAGCAAAAATTTAGGAGTCTTAAAGTTAGGACTGACACGCCCATTATTTTTAAGAGTTACTTTTAGCCTTAAGATGTTTTGTGAATACGGCCCTTGATTTACACACCATGCTGGCAACAAAATAATATATGCAAATAATAAAACAATGTCTACAGAATATTACTACATCGACTAAGAAACAAAGTTACCAAACGCATTATCAAATCATACGCCAGTGCTCTTTTAGGGTGCTTTCACACTTGTTTTTTCCTTTGCTTGGTCCGAACCCGAGTTCGATTGCTGCACCTTTCCCCTGCCCCCACTGGACTGCGTTCATATTATTTTATTTGGGTCCGAACCGCGGTTCGTTTGCGTCATCAAGCCAGCAGCTGTTTACCCCGTTGCTCAGTAACGACGGCACAGGAGAAGGCGGCAAATGCATTACATTGCTCTCTGCACTTTTATATAATTACGTTTTTGAACCATTCGTATTGTTTGCAAAGCTTCGGTAACGGCACTTATGTCTGTGTTACGAATGTACTGCAAATGCTCTAAAGAACGCTGAAGGCGAACAGAAATGAGATATACAGCTCTCAGCGCGTCAGTCACGCTCGTCAGGAAAGTGAGTGAAACACACAAACACACATTTTTATCAAATAATACGTCAATAATAGCGGTTCACTTCCGCTATTTGGTACGATTGCGTTCACATCAGCAGCGAACCGTACCGGAGTTGACATGAACCATAGCCCAGACCACCCTTTTTAAGCGGACTCGGGTACGGTTCGCGGGGTGCACACCTGAGTTCAGAAGACAGCGTTCAGCGTTCAGCACGAACCGAACTCTGACGTCAATCGAACCCGGGTGTGCACCAAAAGTGCTAGTGTGAAAGCACCCTTAGTATCACTGTAACACAAAAATCTCCAAGAATGTGCCCTATTTCTTAGAACTGACTCAGCGAACAGTGTCACCGTTTGCACATCTCTCTGTAGATCTATAGATGTCTTGTAGCATGTTGAGTATTTTATTGTGTGCTTAGTCATCTATTCACTTGTTGACAATGAAAATCATTGGAATGGAAAAATAAATAGGACAGAGGTTATTCCATCTTACTCGTATGTTTTCAATTTGGTCAAAATCAGACCAGGGCTTTCTAGGCGCAGCTGAACGTTTTTCAGGATGAAGTTAAAGGGATTTCGGAAAGACACGGTGACCATGAAATCCTTGCCGACCCGGGGTGTTCCAGTCACCTGTGGATCATTTATAATGACTGTTAATGAACTTAAAGGATCAAATGCATCACACATGTTCCTCTACGATTGGTAATAAAGGACGTATACCTTAATTGTGAGTTCAGGAGGACGGAGGGCGACAACTCTCATTGTCGTAAGGGCCATGCCGGTTTCCTGAATGCGTCCATACACCACAAAAAGCAGGTTGTACTGTTCCAACAGGTAGGGCATGTACTCCGAAGCTTTGACATCGATCATCACTTTCGTGGCTGTAAAATGATTTTCAGAAATTAAGCTAAGCAATCTAAAATGCATGTGCCCTAAACCTACAACAAACTTGTAAAGTCAGGCTCACTTTTCCAGGGATCCACAGATGCAGCTTTGCTTTCAAGCTTAAAGATCGAGCTGGTGACGCCGGTGTAGTACACCACACAGCCAGTGATAGTGGCACTGATGGTGCATTTTTGGCTGGTCTGGTTCTTAATGTTGAGCGTCAGCTTGAAGTTTTCACCCATTTTGATGGTGTCGGCCTGGAGCTCGATGTGCACACCTGTTTCAGCGAGTGGAATATAATCCCTGGGAGCAATGCCACGATGCTCTGCCATCTGCATGGCCTGCCTATCCTTGTCACTGCCTGGAGCCAGGAAGAAGGTTGAAGGATGACAGGGAAGGGGATAGGGCATGTGTGACCATCCATGCCCAGGTGTTTTTGGACCAAATTAAGCTTACCTTCTGGGTATTTGTAGGTAGAAGTGATGTCATCATAGGCGTTACTGTTCACCCTTTTGGTGATAAGGAGCTTTCCAACATACGTGGTGTCCACTTGGATGATCTTTGTGTTTCCGTACTTATCAGACTGATAGTAAATCAAATCACTGTTCAGCTGGAGACAGGAGAAAGAGTTGCTGCTGAGATTTTGTAAACTAAAGAAGTGGTAAGTAAACATCAAAGAGAAATGACATGTTTCTTACCTCTGCAAAGACAAACCTTGCATCAAATGGATAGCTGAGCTCTCCATCTTTGATGGCATTGACAGACGTTGGGCCACATCGATAAAGACCTGAAAGAGAGAGGGAAGCCATTTTTACTGTGTTTCATTTAGCATAACAGAATGCAAATGGTATAGAATTACCATCTAATAATGTCAAGGTACTGTACTATTGTACCACCAGTACAATTTTATAAAAGATCCACATTTATAGGTTACACTGTGTTTCAAATGTATCAGGTCAGAGCAGATGTCAATGGAACAGAGATGCCAAAACTCTAAACCTCAGACATCCCTCAAATCTCGCAAGCAGATTGTGGGTCTAAATGTAGGCCTTTAAAAGTCTAGCATACTATTTCAAGGTCTTGGTGCTTTCCATGAACAGGGTACAAAATAGGGCTTGAATGAAAGCCAGATTTTTGTTCATTTTTAAAGTATCAGCTGAAGGAGGTTCTTAAGTCTGAAACATATAAATATTTGCTGTTTGGTTACATTTGTGATCTCAGTTACCCCAATTTGTGACACCTAAATCCAGTAGGTAGTTTTCTACCATAAAAATAAATAAAAATTTAAAAACTATACTACATTTTTATATCTCACAATTATGAATTTATACCACACAATTGCGAGATACAAATTATTTTAGATATAGAAACTTTTTCCCTCATTGGACTTTATAACTCACAATTGTGAGTTTATATCTCACAGCTTGGAGAAAAGAAGTCAGAATTGCAAGAGAAAAAAAAGCCAGGACTGCGAAATATAAACTCACAATTGCGAGAGAGAAGCAAGTCACCACATTTATAGGTTACACTGTGTTTCAAATGTATCAGGTCAGAGCAGATGTCAATGGAACAGAGATGCCAAAACTCTAAACCTCAGACATCCCTCAAATCTCGCAAGCAGATGGTGGGTCTAAATGTAGGCCTTTAAAAGTCTAGCATACTATTTCAAGGTCTTGGTGCTTTCCATGAACAGGGTACAAAATAGGGCTTGAATGAAAGCCAGATTTTTGTTCATTTTTAAAGTATCAGCTGAAGGAGGTTCTTAAGTCTGAAACATATAAATATTTGCTGTTTGGTTACATTTGTGATCTCAGTTACCCCAATTTGTGACACCTAAATCCAGTAGGTAGTTTTCTACCATAAAAATAAATAAAAATTTAAAAACTATACTACATTTTTATATCTCACAATTATGAATTTATACCACACAATTGCGAGATACAAATTATTTTAGATATAGAAACTTTTTCCCTCATTGGACTTTATAACTCACAATTGTGAGTTTATATCTCACAGCTTGGAGAAAAGAAGTCAGAATTGCAAGAGAAAAAAAAGCCAGGACTGCGAAATATAAACTCACAATTGCGAGAGAGAAGCAAGTCAGAATTGTGAGAAAAAAGTCAGAATTGCCAGTTTATATCCTACAATTCTGACTGTAATTTGCAATTGCAAGTTTAGATCTCACAATTCTGAAATGTCAGAAAAGTCAGAATTTCAAGCTAAAGCGTCACAATTACCTTTTTTCAAAAAATTTTATTTAGAGGTGGAAATGGCTTCCATAATTCATAGATAGTGTCTCCTAACCTTACCAGTTAACTTTAGAGCAGCGGTTCTTAATCCTGGTCCTCGCGACCCTCCGCTCTGCACATTTTGTATGATTCTCCTACAGCTTCAGGGGTTTGTTCCATTCGAACATAAGTGCCTTGCGAAGTGGACATCACAGGATATTCCACCATGATTCCAGTTCGAAAGAAGCGTATATGTTTCATTCAAAGGGCATTCAAGTGCATGAGACGTAACTTCTATGCAAATCTCATGATTACGGTTAAATAACCCTTCACACTTCTGGAGTAAGTTTTGTCTGTATGTGGAGACGCTGCAGGCAGTGGTGTTGCACAAATCTGTGTTCTTAAGTGAAGTAAACTTCAGCTGATTTCCCGTGTGCAGGGAGTAGAGAGCAGTGAACACTATGTAGGGAGCATGTCAATTGGAACACAGTTCATTCATGGAGCTCTCTTCTAACAAGCTGGTTATCGGAATCAGGTGTGTTAAACAAGAGAGACATGCAAAATATGCAGAGCGGGGGGTCGCGAGGACCAGGATTAAGAACTGCTGCTTTAGAGGAAAGCCAGTGTATATGGAAGATGTGGAGGATCATACCATCACTGGTCTCCTGAGGGGTGCTGTCGACCACCTGCCAGCCAGAGTATTTTTCAGGCAGATCAGGCCTCCTCATGTACACCTCATTCCAGCTGTGGTAGTTCCTGTGAGACACAGTGTTATTGTCGCTAAACAGCATTTAACCATCATTACCTATCAGACTGTGTATGCTTTGTGTATCTCACCAGATTGAATCTCTCGTTCGGCTTCTGTTCATTCCCCCATTTTCATCCAGTATAATGTCTGTCTTCAGGTTGCCCGTGTTGTCGTGAGCAGAGGCGAAATTGGTGACAACTCGTGCGGGGATCCCAAGACAGCGCAAAACTAGGTGGGATCATCACAGTGCCATGGTTATGCCACAGTCTTTTTTAGCAAGGCTCTAAATAACCTGAATTTCAGAACCAATAATGAACATGCTGTCGCCATACTCACAAGTGTTCAGCACACCGGCAAACACCCAGCACTGAGCAAAGCACACAGGCAAACCACCGTCTTTGGCATATTTGAGCAGGATTTCAGGACTTCCTGTCCAGGCAGTGGGTGCTGTGCCAATGGAGTAATCACTACTCCAGTTGCCAACCAGGACACCATTGTCGTCTTGGGAGTTCATCTGAAAATATACCACCAAAAAAGCTACATATATGCTATGTAAATTCATATAAGACCAGCTGCTTAGGAAGTACGTTGGAAAGTTAAAAAAAGCCCATCTATCCATCCATCCATCCATCCATCCATCCATCCATCCTACTCCAGTTGCCAACCAGGACACCATTGTCGTCTTGGGAGTTCATCTGAAAATATACCACCAAAAAAGCTACATATATGCTATGTAAATTCATATAAGACCAGCTGCTTAGGAAGTACGTTGGAAAGTTAAAAAAAGCCCATCTATCCATCCATCCATCCATCCATCCATCCATCCATCTATCTATCTATCTATCTATCTATCTATCTATCTATCTATCTATCTATCTATCTATCTATCTATCT